GTCCGCAGACAGGTCGCGAACAAACGCCCGAGATCCCCAGATCCGGAACGCCGACGCATCGCCAACCTTCCCCATCCACAGCAGGGCTGGGGAGGTCTCCGGTCGAGAGACCCTGGGGTGGAGGTTGATCTGGTGCGCAGCGTACCTGACCGCAAACGGCCACAGAAAATGGGGAGCAGCCGCATGCATCATGGACGTACGAGCGACGTCCATGACCATGCCAATGCGGCGCTCAGCAATCCCATTCTGCTGTGGTGAGTCCGGAAGCGTGAAGGTCTGACGGATGCCTCGCGCACGACAGTAGGCACTCAGGAGGCCAGAGGAGAACTCTCCGCCTCTGTCCGAGTGCAGACGCAAAACAGGGAAGTCAGAGCCAAAGCTCCTCCGAAGCTGGAGACGAGCTGCGCGGATCCAGTCGATCAACACCTCAGTGGCCTCACCCTTGCTGCGCAAGGGGAAGACTGTGGTGTAACGCGAGTAGTCGTCAACCACCAGCAGGAAGTAGCACTCCTGACCCTGTCCACGGACGCGGGCTGGGCCCCACACGTCCATGTGAAGCGTCTGCAACGGGGCCTCTGTCGGCGGAAACTGGGAGGAGTGAGGGGCAGCACGCTGGCGCCCCTCGACACAGGGGACACAGGTAGGGCCAGGGCCCGGAGGAAGGGGAGGGAGAGACCGGGGAAGACCAGACACAAGGACTCGCGAGGCCATGCCTCTGAGCCGAGGCAGAGAGGGGTGGCCAAGGCGGTGGTGCCAAAGGAGGGTCTCGTGAGACAGACGACGACACGAGCAGGGGGCAGACTCAGGACCAGACCTGGACGCTGCAGCAAACACCTGACCAGACTCAGCACCTGGAGGAGAAGCAGTGGTCAGTGTGTACAGGCTCGACCCTGGCCGACGTGTAAACGTAGCCAGGTGGCGACCTGTATCCGCCTCCGTGCAGTGAGTCACCCGCTGACGAGCAGGGGTGAACTGGTGGACACCCGCATCCTGGAGGTCAGCACCACTCACCAAGTTCGTCGAGAACGAGGGGAGGTAGAGACCAGTCAGGGTGCCAGAGGGGGCCGCCGGACACGGGAGGACAGTGGAGAAGCGAGACAGGACAGGCCCCCCAGAGGGGTCAGCCAGGGACACCGCAACCGGCCGACTCAGTGGCGTGAGAGTGGTGCGGTCCCTAAAGAAGGAGCGAGACGCTCCAGAGTCAAGGGTGAAGGTGTGAGAGGCCAAAGCCGACACAGTACCTGAGAGGGCAGACTCACCAGCACCTGAGAGCACAGACGCACTGGCACCTAGAGCAGCAGCCTCACTAGTACCTGACGCGGCAGTACCAATGCCCGGGTTGGGCGGGAAACACCGGTAACAGTCATCCTCATCACTAACCACAGCATACATAGCAGAGAGAATGGCATCAAAATCAAGATCACAAATAGCTACACCAGCCCTAGACAGCTCCCCCCAGCGGGGGATCTCAGCGGCCTCCGGAAACTGCTGACGCCAGGCGTCTGTCAGGCGGCCAAAGCAGCGGCGGGCTGTGTGGGCGCCTCCACACCTCTCCCCTGCACGGTCACCGGTGCGAAGAACGTAGGGGCAGGGACCAAGCGCACCACCACGCTGACGCTGCAGGTACCACTCACGGAGCTGCTGAGGGGTGGGGACGGTGCGAGAGCGCTGCTGCTGCTGTGGCTGCTGCTGTGGCTGCTGCTGCTGCTGCTGCTGGCGCTGACCACCCCCAGAGCTGCTCCGCTGGGACGAGCCACCCCGACCCCCGCCTCCACCGCCACCCCCGCCCCCACCGCCACCCCCGTCTCCACCGCCACCTCCCCCACCAGGACCGTCGCTCCCACCGCTCCCACCGCCTCCTCCGCTACCACCGCCGCCGCCACCTCCGCCTCCACCGCCGCCACCAGTACCTCCACTCCCGCCACCACCCCCACCGCCACCCCCACTCCCCCCGCCACCCCCACCGCCTCCTCCACCGCCCCCTCTAGCCCCACCCGCTCCCTTGCCCCCCTTGCCCTTGCCAGAGCGGCGTCTGCCGCTGGGGGCAGACGCCGCGCCGACCGACTCAAAACCAGTGAGGTCGGCCGCAGCGGCAGAGGCGACAGAGGGCAGCAGGGGGGAAGGACCACACCCCTCAAAGATGGGGGTGCGAGGGTCACCCCGAGAGGCCCCTACAGCGACAATACTCTTCTCAGCCGCTAGCAGGGACTCCTCAAGGAGGTCGACAGTGAGAGTGGTGGGACAGACAGAGAGAAACTGGTCCCTAACGACACGAAGGGACTCAGGGAGACGGGTGACGAGAAAGTAGAGAGTGATGTACATGGGAGGAGGGTTCGCAGCGCGGAACTCAGCAGGAAGGGCAGCGCGGTAGCGGGTGTCACTAGCACGGAGGTGGGTAACGAGGTCAGCAACAGTGGGAAAGGAGGCGAGGTCAGGGAAGAGAAACGGTAGCATGAGGCGGCTAAGGGTAGCGGAGGAAGGGGAGGAGTAGCGTGCAACTACAGCGTCGTACAAGGCCTGAGCGGTCTTGCACTGACTAAAGTGGGCACGCTCAGAGGAAGGGAGGTGGCGGCGCACAGCAAGACGTGCAGCAGCATCGCGGGTCGCCCACTTGGAGCGAACGGCAGAGTCAGCATCAGCAGGTGGGGCAGGGACAGCGCCAGAGACAAAGTCAAAGAGAGAGACCTCATCTATCGCATCACACAGTAAGTACAGCTGCAGGTCTTCAATCCAGACGGCAAAGTCAATGGCCCTCCCCTCAGCGTCAAAAGTAAGAACATTGGGGGCGGCCATGGCAGCAGCTGAAAGTCTCACCGGGCTGGGAGAGTCGGGTAGGTCAGCAGCAGAGGAACACAGCTCAGGAACAGCGGCACGGCTCGGGCGGCTCGGGTTGCTGGGGCGGCGCGGGCGGCTCGGGCGGCTCGGGCGGCTCGGGCGGCTCGGGCGGCTCGGGCGGCTGGGGCGGCTCGGGCGGCTCGCGCGGCTCGGGCGGCTCGGGCGGCTCGGGCGGCTCGGGTGGCTCGGGCTGCTGGGCTGGACGGGCGGCTCGTGCGGCGCTGGTGTCGTGACGGGCGGCTCGCTGGCGGCTCGCGGGCGGCTGCACAGGCGGCTCAGGGACGGCGGCGCGGGCGGCTCAGGGAGCTCACGGGCGGCTGCGACGGGCGGCTCGCGGGCGTCGGGCGCTGGGGCGGGCGGCCGGCTGTCAGGGCGCTAGGGCGGGCGGCCGTCAGGGCGCTAGGGCGGGCTGCGTTCGGGCGCTAGGGCGGGCGGCCGTCAGGGCGCTAGGGCGAGTGGCGCACGGGCGCTAGGGCGGGCGGCCGTCAGGGCACTAGGGCGAGCGGCGCTCGGGCGCTAGGGCGGGCGGCCGTCAGGGCTCTAGGGCGAGTGGCGCTCGGGCGCTAGGGCGGGCGGCCGTCAGGGCTCTAGGGCGGGCGGCGCTCGGGCGCTAGGGCGGGCGGCGCTCGGGCGCTAGGGCGGGCGGCGCTCGGGCGCTAGGGCGGGCGGCGCTCGGGCGCTGGGGCGGGCGGCCGTCAGGGCGCTAGGGCGGGCTGCCGTCAGGGCGCTAGGGCGGGCGGCCATCAGGGCGCTAGGGCGGGCGGCCGTCAGGGCGCTAGGGCGGGCGGCCGTCAGGGCGCTAGGGCGGGCGGCGTTCGGGCGCTCCGTCAGGGCACTAGGGCGGGCGGCCGTAAGAGGAGTGAGCGGCGGGAGCGCGACGGTAGGGGCGACACGCAGGGTCGCTAAAAAAAAGAACGCGCGCCTCGGGGCGCGCTTCGGTGGGCCCTAGGAACAGTCCCTAGGAGGGGACCTGCTCTGATTCCATGAGAAGAATTGAACGAGAATGAAATGAGTATGAACGAAGTGAGTACAAATAGGAAACCCTAATTGGGTTGTACCCCCTATGGGATACCCCACTATAGCCTACACAAATGAGTAAGCTATATGTTCTGACAAGGTATTCATTGGACCGGAGCCTATGTTAGTATTTGTTTGTCTTATCTTGCCTCTCTATCGCTTGCCACATGGCAGGTATCTATTGGAGCGGCGCCTGTCAGTGGACAATCTCTTTGTCTTCGTCTCATCTTCTCCTACTTCAAAGTGCCTACCACCTACCAAGTAATCACGCTCTCCCTCTCGCTCTCAAAAGGCACTCTCTCTCTCGCCTTACCTGACTCGACTTGCAAATCTCTTTGTGTTCATCCTCATCTTTTCGTATTTCAAAGTGTCTACCACCTACCAGGTGCCACCTCACCCCTTTCCAACCCTTCCCACTGCTTCCAACTACTGGCCCAACGCTTCCCTCCCCACCGCTTCCCATCCCGCCACTTCCCATCCCACTTCCACTCCTACCAACTGTTATTGGTGTGACTCCCTTTGCCTTCCTCCTCATCATTTTTTCCTATAGCCTACCAGGTGAGTGCCACTACAAATCCTTGCCATCCCACTACCACCCCTTCTCACCCCGTTACCACCCTAGTACCACCCATTCTCACACCACTACCACCCTAGTACCACACTTTCTCACACCACTACCACCCTAGTACCACCCTTTCTCACACCACTACCACCCCAGTACCACCCTTTCTCACACCACTACCACCCTAGTACCACCCCTTCTCATCCCACTACCGCCCCTTCCCATCCCACCACCACCCCTTCCCTTCCCACTACCACCTCACCCCTTCACAACTTTCCACTACCGTTGCACCACATCAGTCTTCCTTTCAGATCCACCCAGAATACTTATCCTGCAACCTCTCAGGTTCTAACCACTATAATCCGAAGAGGTGTTTTCCTCACATACTGTGCTTCTATACTCTCGAATAGTCTACTGATCTATGGATTAACACAAACCCCCCTTCCCCGCCCTCCTTTCCCCCTTCTCCCCCTTCCTAACCCCCACCCACCCCACCCCCTCCCCGCCCTCCTTTCCCCCTTCTCCCCTCAACCCGTCATGCCTGCTCACGTACGGCATTGCCGGAGGTGTGATCTTCCGAGCCATCATGATAGGTCTGGGCATTGCGGCCATCCAAGCCTTTGAAGCAGTGAACATGCTGTTTGTTACGGTGCTCATATTCTCCTCTTACAATGTAGGTTCAAGGCAAAGGAAGGGGGTGCGTGGCGGGTTGTTGAGGTTACTCAGAAGTCATCACCTTGATATGTCTAAGTGGGCATTGCAGCCATTCAGGCGCTAATAGCAGTGAACCTGCTATTTGCTGCCCTGCTCTGCTCGTACTCTCCTCTTATAACTCAGTCCATCCTTTCCTCCCATCTCTCTCTTCCTTCTTTCCCCTCATCCCTCCCACCCATCCTCTCCTTCCCTATCCAGCTACTAGCAGAAGCGGAGGACGAGGATGACGACCTCTCCAACAACTCGGGGTCTAGTTCCGCCCCAACCCCTGCTGATTCCTGCTACCTTCCCCCCTCCCCGTTTCCTCTTCATCAGCTACTAGCAGAGGCAGAGGACGAGGACGGCTATTTCTCCAACAACTCGGGGGTCTAGTTATTATGCCCTTGTTGCCCATTCTTTCTCGACTCCAGCTACTCCAAGGCACATGTCAGTCAGACCCTCCTTCTGCCTGCTACCCTTCCCCCCTCCACTTCCCCAGCTACTAGCAGAAGCGAGGATGAGGATGATGATCTCTCCAACAACTCGATCGTCAAGTTCTGCCTCCCTCTCCTGCTCAAGGCAAACCCTCAATCTACCTGCTATCCACCTCCCCTTCCCTCTTCTCCCCCCATCAGCTACTAGCAGAGGAAGAGGAAGAAGGATGATGATCTCTCCAACAACTCGGTCCTCAAGTTCTTGTCCCAACCCCTGCCGTCTTCTGCCGCAACCTGCTTAAACCTCCTGGCCCCCTCCCTTCCCCCCCGTATCAGCAATTAGCTGAAGCGAGGACGAGGACGATGACCTCTCCAACAACTCGATGGTCAATTCTGTCAGAACATCATAGCTTATGCTTTTGTGTAGGCTATAGTGGGGTATCCCATAGGGGGTACAACCCAATTAGGGTTAGTACTTGTACCCACTTCATTCATAGTTCATTCATTCCCGTTCACTCTTTCACATGGAATCAGAGCAGGTCCCCTCCTAGGGACTATTCCCAGGGCCCACCGAAGCGCGCCCCGAGGCGCGCGTTCCTTTTTTTTTAGCGACCCTCCGTGTCGCCCCTACGCGGCCCCGCCGCCCTTACCTATGCGGCCCCGCCGCCCTTACGTCGCGGCCCCGCCGCCCTCACGTCGCGGCCCCGCCGCCCTCACGTCGCGGCCCCGCCGCCCTCACGTCGCGGCCCCGCCGCCCTCACGTCGCGGCCCCGCCGCCCTCACGTCGCGGCCCCGCCGCCTTCACGTTGCAGCCCCGCCGCCCTTACGTCACGGCCCCGCCGCCCTCACGTCGCGGCCCCGCCGCCTCACCCTCGCGGCCTCGCCGCCCTCACCTTCGCGGCCCCGCCGCCCTCACCTTCGCGGCCCCGCCGCCCTTACCTACGCGGCCCCGCCGCCCTTTCGTCGCGGCCCCGCCGCCCTCACGTAGCGGCCCCGCCGTCTCACCTTCGCGGCCCCGCCGCCCTCACCTTCGCGGCCCCGCCGCCCTCACCTACGCGGCCCCGCCGCCCTCACCTACGCGGCCCCGCCGCCCTCACCTTCGCGGCCTCGCCGCCCGTGCCTACGCGGCCCCGCCGCCTTCTCCTACACGGCCCCGCCGCCCTCACGTCGCGGCCCCGCCGCCCACACCTTCGCGGCCCCGCCGGTCTCCCCTCCTGCCGAGCCGCCCGAGCAGCCGCCCGCCACGCCGCCCGGTACCGGAGCAGCCGAGCTGCCCAGCAGCAGCCGCCGGGCCGCCGAGCCGCAGTACAGCCGAGCTGCCCAGCAGCAGCCGACGAGCCGCCGGGCCGCCGAGCCGCTGTACCGCCGAGCCGCCCCGCAGCCGAGCCGCACTACTGCCGAGCCGCCCGACCTGCCCTGTCTGGTGAGCACAGCCCCACTGCTACTGCGTGCCCTTCCCCCACTGCTTGCAGTGCTAGTCTGTCGTCATGGCTACCCCTAGTGTCCTCGCTTTTGACGCTGAGGGTCGAGCCATTGACTTTGAGGTCTGGGTCGACGACCTGCAACTGTTTTTACAGTGCGATAGGGCGGACGGTCTTTCTCTCTTTGACCTCACCTCTGGCGCCTCCCCTGCTCCTGCTGCTGATGCTGACCCCACTGTTCGCTCTCAGTGGGCCACCCGCGATGCTGCTGCACGTCTTGCTGTGCGTCGCCACCTGCCTACCACTGAGCGCGCGCACTTTAGTCAGTACTAGAGTGCTCAGACCTTGTACGACGCTGTAGTTGCGCGCTACTCTTCCCCTGCCACTGCTGCACTGAGCCGCCTCATGCTACCGTACCTCTTTCCTGACCTTGCTGCCTTTCCTACAGTCGCTGACCTCATCACGCACCTCCGCACTTCTGACACTCGCTACCGCGCCGCACTTCCTCCTTAAATTCTGCGCCAAGAACCCCCCCCCCCATGTACATCACTCTCTATGACATAGTCACTCGCCTCCCTAACTCCCTTCGCGTAGTCAGGGACCACTTCCTCTCAGTATGTCCCACCACCCTCACTGTCGACCTCCTCGAGAAGGCCCTCCTAGCGGCGGAGAAGAGCATAGTCGCGGTAGGAGCCTCTCGTGGTGACCCGCGGACCCCCATCTTTGAGGGGTGTTCTCCTTCCCCCCTGCTGCCCTCTGTTGCCTCTGCTGCTGCTGCCGACCTGCTTGGTCTTGAGTCGGTCGGCGCGGCGTCTGCCCCTAGCGGGAGACGCCGCCCTGGCAAGGGCAAGGGGGGCAAGGGCGCGGGTGGAGCTGGTGGGGGCGGTGGAGGTGGCAGTGGCGGTGGCGGAGGGAGTGGGGGTGGCGGTGGGAGTGGTGGTGGGGGTGGTGGTGGTGGTGGCGGCAGTGGAGGCGGCGGCGGTGGCGGCGGTGGGAGCGGAGGCGGCGGTGGTGGCGGAGGTGGAGGCGGCGGTGGCGGAGGAGGTGGAGCCGTTCGGGGTAGTGCCCCGCAGCGGAGCGGCTCTGGTGGTGGTCCGCGCCAGCAGCAGCAGCAGCGTTCTCGGGACATCCCCCCGCCTCAGCAGCTCCGTGAGTGGTACACGCAGCGTCAGCGTGGTGGGGGTCTTGGCCCGTGCACCTACGTTCTTCGTTCCGGCGACCGCGCGGGTGAGCAGTGTGGGGGTGCCCACTCCACCCAGCGCTGCTTTGGCCGCCTGACGGACGCTTGGCGTCAGCAGTTCCCCGAGGCTAGTGAGATTCCCCGCTGGGGAGAGCTGTCTAGGGCTGGCGTAGCGATCTTTGATCTTGACTTTGATGCTATCCTTGCTGCCATGTATGCTGTGACTATTAGTGATGAGGGTGACTGTTACCGGTGTTTCCCGCCCGACCCGGGCATTGGTACTGCTGCGCTAGGTGCTTGTGAGGCTACTGCTCTAGGTGTCAGTGCGTCTGCACTCTCAGGTACTGGTGAGGCTGCGCTCTCAGGTACTGCGTCGGCTTCGGCCTCCCTCACCTTCACACTTGACTCAGGGGCTTCTCGCTCCTTCTTTCGAGACCGCACCACACTCACGCCGCTTGGTCGGCCGGTTGCAGTCTCCCTGGCTGACCCCTCTGGGGGTCCTGTCCTCGCTCACTTCTCCACTGTCCTCCCGTGTCCGGCTGCCCCCTCGGGCACCCTGTCGGGTCTGTACCTCCCCTCGTTCTCGACGAACTTGGTGAGTGGTGGTGACCTGCAGGATGTGGGGGTTCACCAGTTTACTCCTGCGAGTCAGCGGGGGACCCACTGCTCGGACGCCTGCACAGTCCGACACCTAGCCACGTTTCCCGTCGGCCCAGGTCGAGTCTCTACACCATGACCATTGAGTCTCCTCCAGTCCCTGCGTCTGGCCAGGTAGCTGCGTCGGGTCAGGTGTTAGCTGCTGCGTCCAGGTCTGGTCCTGAGTCTGCCCCCTGCTTGTGTCGCCTCCTGTCTCACGAGACTCTCTTGTGGCACCACCGTCTTGGCCACCCCTCCTTGCCTCGTCTTCGGGGCATGGCTTCCCGTGTCCTTGTCTCTGGTCTCCCCTGGTTTCTCCCTCCCCTTCCTTCGGGGCCAGGACCTTCCTGTGTCCCCTGTGTCGAGGGGCGGCTCCGGGCTGCCCCTCACTCCTCCCAGTTTCCCCCGACAGAGGCTCCTCTGCAGACGCTTCACATGGACGTGTGGGGCCCGGCCCGCGTCCGTGGACAGGGTCACGAGCGCTACTTCCTGCTGGTGGTTGACGACTACTCGTGTTACACCACGGTCTTCCCCTTGCGCAGCAAGGGTGATGTCACTCGGGTGTTGATCGACTGAATCCGCGCAGCTCGTCTCCAGCTCAGGAGGAGCTTCGGCTCGGATTTTCCTGTTCTGCGTCTGCACTCTGACCGAGGCGGAGAGTTCTCCTCTGGCCTTCTGCGAGCCTACTGTCGTGCACGAGGGATCCGCCAGACCTTCACGCTTCGGGACTCTCCACAGCAGAATGGGATTGCTGAGCGCCGCATTGGCATGGTCATGGACGTCGCTCGTACGTCCATGATGCACGCGGCTGCCCCCCATTTTCAAAGGCCGTTTGCGGTTCAGTACGCGGCGCATCAGCTCAACCTTCACCCCACGGTCTCCCGGCCGGAGACCTCCCCAGCTCTGCTGTGGACGGGGAAGGTCGGCGATGCGTCTGCGTTCCGTGTCTGGGGATCTCGGGCGTTTGTCCGCGACTTGTCTGCGGACAAGCTGTCCCCTCGTGCTGCTCCCTGTGTCTTCCTAGGCTTCCCCCCTAACGCCCCAAGGTGGTAGTTCTACCACCCCTCCTCTCGTCGTGTTCCGTCCCCCCAGGACGTCACGTTCGACGAGTCCGTCCCCTTCTACCGCCTCTTCCCCTACCGCACTCCTTCCCTCCCCCCGCCACCGCACTTCCTTGTGCCAGGTCCCCCCCCGTTAGACCCCCTTCCCCCTCAGGGTCCTGCCCCTTCAGGTGTGTCCCAGGTCGATGCAGTCGAGCCGGTCGAGGTTGCTGGTGACTCAGGTACTGCTGGGGGTGTTGAGCCTGAGGGTGCTGAGCCTGGGGGTGCTGACTCTGGGGGTGCTGAGTCTGGGGGTGCTGAGCCTGGGGGTGCTGACTTTGGGGGTGCTGAGTTTGGGGGTGCTGAGCTTGGGGGTGCTGGGTCTGGGGGTGCTGAGCCTAGGGGTCCTGAGCCTGGGGGTGCTGAGCCTGGGGGTGTTACCTTTGGGGGTGCTGCGCGCGGGGGTGCTGAGCCTGGGGGTGCTGCGTCTGGAGCTGCTGAGCCTGGAGGTGTGGAGCCTGCGGCCACTGGACCTCCCCTTGTGGCGTCTGGCGGTGCTGGGCCTGGAGGTTCTCCGGGTGTTTCGTCTCGGCGGGAGCCACTCTCTCCACAGGAGCTGCGTGAGTGGTTTGCTCGCCGCTGGAGGCGTACTGCTGGAGCTGGCACTTCTTCGACCGCTGAG